TGTATCACAAAGTAATTTATCATCAATTCTTTCATCTAAATTTTCAATAAAAACTTTGGTAACATCCGATTTACGTAATAGTGAATCACGTTGACACCGCATAATACGTAATGGCCAACCATGAAGTAAATCAAAATTCATTGTATCGAATGCATATTCAGCTGAAACGATAGAATTTTTTTATTTATGGAAGAATATCTTTTATCAAAATTAATTCTACTGGATTTTGGTAATATCCTATAACTCGAATATAAATAAAAAGCGAACAGCCGTTTTTTATTCCTTTTCTCATTTCGTTCGATGACATATCATCCTATTGCAATAGTTAATAAACTGACATACCATCAGCTGCTAGTTGAAAATTGACTTCAGCATAGCCAAGTGATCGTCGTGTGATTATATTACGAAAGACTCGAATTGATGAAATTGGCCCGACACTTGCAAATTTGTCGAATAACATAGCCTCATTAACATCAGGGTGAAGATTATCTTTCATTCAAAGGAAATTTAGAACGAAAACAACAATATTCAAACTTACCAACACGCAATAAGGTATCTGAGATGATTGGAGCTCCTAGTAAATCACTGGATGATGTCATATTATTTTTATTTTTTTGTCGTGTAACGTTGTTTTTTTCGATTTTGTTTTTATTTTATGAGGGATAAAATAAAGTTGATTGTGCAGTTCATGGATTTTTTATATTTTTGAGAAAGATGTTGCGTTCCTTTTTATTCCAAATGTGATAAATTACAGAATCGTATGATCGCTTTATGTGAACTGCTTTTTTTTATTAACAAGTGACTGCGCACGTGCACACACAAATATAAACTCACTGTGCCCAGGTGATCAAGAAAATAAGTGAAGACGGCCAAAATGACTAGTCCGAAATGTTTGCAATACGCGTCATGTCTAGTCTGTTTTGTCCGTTAACTGCGTCCAAACTAGTCAGCAAAGCAGAAAAATAAGAAAGACGAAAAGTAGATTTGAACATTTGACCCGAAATTATTCGATATCTGACGGGCAACATAACGGCAGACTATAGCATATCGATAGACTAACGACAGTTTTGACCGTCGAAATAGCAGAATGATGCTCATCCATCTGCTAGGCAATTTGACACCCGTCGAAGACGAGAAACTTGACTAGTCTGAAGTGTCATCTCCACACGTTAAGGCTAGTCCATTTTTTTGAGAATGTTTCATAGATCCTTGTTCACACTATCCCATGGAAATTTTTTTTTCAAAAAACCGCTTAAAACCGCGGTTTTACTAGAGGGAAACGCGGTTTCGATTGGATAACCGCGGTTGATGGCAGTTTTTTTGAACCGCGGTTTTCTGAAACCGCGTTGCTCGTATTCAAGACCACGGTTCTAAATACCGCCGTATTCAACGGTCTAAAAAATTGCGATATAGTTATTGGAAACCGCGGTATTGCATAATCCGGTATTCAACGGTTTTTAAAATCGCGGTATACTCCTTAGTAACCTCGGTGCAAATAGCGCGATATTGCGCGGTTTCAAAAACCGTGGTATATCCATCAGTAACCGCAGTGGCAAATACCGCGGTATTGAGCGATTTCGAAAACCGCGGTATAGAAATCAGTAATTGCGGTGATAAATAGCACGGTATTGAGCGGTTTCAAAAACCGCGGTATAGTCATTAGTAACCGCGGTATGCCAGCGAATAACCGCGGTTTTCAACTGAAGAACCGCGCTATGGCTGGTGGGTGTGGGTGTGGGGTGTGTGGGTGTCGATGGGTGTGGGTATGGGTGTGGGTGTGGGTGGGTGGGAGTGTGTATGAAGATAAGAGACCCACAACCACACTCACACCCACACCCTCACACCGACCCTTATGTTATTACCATACACTCTTGTCTCATTTGATGAGATAAGAGAATTCTTATCACAATAGTGAGAAATAGAATTTCATTTCAAATATAAAATTCTAACAATGAATATGATATTGCTACAAATTGTCATTAGTACTATCTTAACATTGTCTTATTCAAATACACAACAACATACCTACAATCTTTACAATACAGAAATAATTAATTATTATTTGTCACATGATTGTATTTATTATATGATATATGAGAGACAATCTGTGGATACCAAAATCTATACTACTTGGCAACTTATTGAATATTGTATTAGATCGTCTTTGGAGCAGGAAAATGATGTCATCAAAGGACCAATATCCTCGATAGTAAGTTTCAATCAGTTGAAGGAAGCAAATGTGACAGTTGAAAGCCTTATAAAATGGTCAAGCCCTATTGATCTTGTAGAACTTTATCAAAACTTTTTACAAACGAATATCTCTTTATCAATGAAAAGTTTTTACAATTGCAATGTTCCATGGTTTGAACCTTTATGTGAATACAAATTTGTTATTAACTGTACGTTTTTGGACATTGTTGATATGACATTCGATTTTAAATCGACACAGACCTCTGAGGCACGATTCACTTGTTATATGCATATGAAATGTGATCGCGGTTCGTCTCTACTATGTCTCGATTGGCATGAGATATGTGATGGCAAAATCGATTGCCTCGATGGAGACGAAGATGAAAAATATTGTCTTGAACTTCACATGAATCAATGTGGTGATAATGAATATCAATGTCGAAATGGAATGTGTATCAATGAAGCATTTTTGACAGAAACTCTTTTCTTCAGTCCAGGCGCTCGTGAATGTTTGGATCTATCGGATGAGCGTGCTTTCAAGTATTCTAGTTCCTCCTGTAAATGGTATGCAAGTTTTCGATGTGAAGAATCCACTTGCTAATTTACTCATCAGTTCAACTGCGATGATGGTCGTTGTATATCCTGGCCTCTGCTGAAAAATACAAGTGACTGTATAAATAACCGAGATCAAGTATTTAATTACAAGTTTGATTGGAACAATCAAGAGTCTAGAAGATTTCCTAATTGTTTTAAGATTGCAATGTGTACATCAAACATTTTCTTAAACAATGAATTCGCATTTTATTGTAAGACATTGTGTGAAAATATTGAAGAGTGTAAAAGTAATCTTCAATATTGCCCATCTTATTTCTTTGCACCTGATTTTCCTATATGGGATGGACACGTCAAATTAGGCTACTTTTCGAATCAAACTATCGTCATGGATCGCTTTCTAATACCACATTTTGTCTGCTATGACAAATATAAATGTCCATTTCTTAAACCAACATTTGAAATCGATAACTAGACGTGTTTACATAGTCATAAACTCAATTTTTCATCGGACAAAGATTTTTATACAATATTTCTTGGATGCACTCATATCTATGAAAGTGTCAACGAGACTCTTTGTCGTCTGCAATCATCTATGTCATATTGTCCTGGTTCGAACAAATATATTCCAAATCGTTACATAATGGATGCCATTTCCGATTATTATAATGCTTTCGATGAGTCACTTTCAGTTAATTCATGCTCATTGAATGATAAGTATCATTTTCATTCCACATTAGAAAAGAAATGTCTTTTAACGACCTTGGTCAATAACGGTGTACAAGAATGCAGTGGTGGGGAAGATGAATTCGATATAAATGGACTAATGATGAATATTCGGACACTTCCCCTAGAGAAAGTACTGAGTTCAGGGTACCCATGTACTGAGAAAGCTCTAGCAGGGTACCCAATATGGGTACTTTGAAAATTCTCAGTAATTTTACTGATGTATGTACTGTTTGGGGTACCCGTAAAAGTACATTCACTGAATAAGTACCTGCATGGATACACAAGTCTGTAACTTTACTGAGGAAATCTCGACAGGGTATCCTAAATTTTTCGCGTTCTGTGTGGCGACTATTCATTCACCGTTTTCTTTTTTACGAACGGCTCTATATAAACAACTCGATAAATCATAAGAAAATAATCAATTTTCATACTAGTTTTTTCTAAATTATTTCTTGACTATTTCTTAGTCGAGGACATGCCGAGCTTGGTCGTAAATTAAGATCGGACTACCCTGAAGTGGTCTACGACCAACTCAAGTTGAGTCGGATCCCAACATTGTTCCTGCTGAGTTTTTGGAATTAAAAAAAATTGAATTGAATAAAGTAAAAAAAAATCTAGTAAATTATCTCAAGAAAAACAAAAAAAAATTTTAAAAAGTCAAAGATCAGGTTCGATCCTGAACATACTGAAAATTTGGTAACAGGGTACTTAGAAATACTATACAATGGTACCCAATTCAGTACTTGATCAGTACCTTTAGGTACCCAAGTACTGTGCATTTTCCAGCAGGGTACTTGCCAAAGTACCACTTAGGTACCTATAAGTACCTGCAAGTACTTTGGTACCCAAAAGTTCCTGTGACATACTGGTATCAGGGTACTTTTTTGGGTACCCTTAACTCAGTATATTCTCTAGGGTCCTTTTTCTGCTATATGTGACAGTAGGAGAGAAATATTTGCTTCAACAGAAGAAAGCGACGAGACCCACTGTGAGCAATGGTCATGTGCAAACCAATATACACAGTGTAATGGAGTATGGCAATGTCCGAAAGGAATTGAGGAAATCAATTGTCCGTCGAAAATTCGTTGTCCTACTGATCATCATCCTTGTGCATTTCAACATAATCAGACGATTGGCTGTTTGCATATAAATCGTATTGACGATGGCATTGCGGATTGTCTTGAAGCCACAGATGAGAGAATACATTGCGATCTATCATATCAAACCAATAGTTTTAAACGTTATCGATGATGGAATGATACTTTATGTGTTTTTTATGGGCTTCGTTGTGATGAGTGAAATAAAGTCGATGCCGTCGATGAACTATGTCAAGTAAATAATAATAAAAGTTACGGTATTAATGAATACTTCGAGAATATGTTGGACTTTCATCATATCCAAAAATTACCATTTTCTCCTCAATCTTCTCATCCATTTCCTACAAAAAAAAATCACTGCCGTCTGCTAAACATATCGTAGAATATCAGCCGAAAGAAATAGAAGAATCAAGGAGTACTCAAGAGTTGTATATGCGGCAAGTCTGGTTATGTCATCAAGGTACATTAATTTACGTTGGTCAAGATGAAAATAAGCAATGTTTGTGTCCACCAAATTATTATGGCAATCGTTGTCAATATCAAAATCAGCGTGTTAGTCTTACTCTTCGTCTACAGAATGAAAATTTAGGAAAATTTAATGTCATTGGTGTTATTGTTGGTTTGGTTGATAATACTGGTCTTATCCATTCACATGAGCAATTCACTTATATTCCTGGTCGTGATTGCAATACTAAATTTGATATTTATCTACTCTATCGGAATCGACCAAAAGATATGACAAAGAACTACACAATTCATATTGAAGCTTATGATAAAATCAATCTTCGTTTTCTTACAACTTGGAAATTGCCAGTAAAATTTAATTTTATGCCTGTAAATCGTGAGAGTGCTCTACTGGTAATTCCATCGTTACATAAATGTCATACATTATGTAACTCTAAGTATCTTAAACAACAGAATGGTAGTCATACGAAATTCTGTCAGTGTCAATCGAATCACTCTAGAATGATCTCTAATAGTCAAGATCAATGTGACTGTTCACCAGATTCTATTTGCGTTGGTATTGTTAATAAGAGATCGATTTGTCTTTGTCCTTTAACCAAAATATGACCTCGATGTCTTCTTAACTCGATCTGTCAAACCAATGTCTGTTCGAATCGGGGTATCTGTGTACCAGATGGCGAACGAATTTCTTTGACAAATTTCACATGTATATGTGAAGATGGCTTCTCTGGACCAAGATGTGAAGTAAATGATGTTAAAATTGATATTTTATTTTCTAACGTACCCATTCCTCAATCGCTTCTGGTTCATTTTATTACAGCGCGCGACTATAATGTGGCAACGGAGGATCCAATGCCAACTCGAGCGACCATGTTCAAAAAAATTAGACTCGATCAAGACACGATCATTTTCTATATGTCTTTGCCATTTCATTTGGTCTTCGCTCAGATTGAAACTAAATTTTATCTTATTGTTCTTCAACATGAACATACACCTTCAATTAATATTTCCACCGAAGTGACTCGATCTCGGCATTGTCCACATATTCGAGAGTTGTTCAACCAACAAATTATTGATTATCAAATTCTTCATCGAGTTAAATTCTATCATCTTCCATGTAAGAAAGATCCGAATCTAATTTGTTTTCATGACAATGAAATATTCATGTGTCTTTGTACAAAAGAAAAAAATGCTAATTGTTTTCATTTCGATTTCAATATGACTTACAATTGTATGGGTTGGAATGATTGTCAGAATGAAGGAAAATGTTTTCAAGATAATCCAACATGTCCAACAAAGACAATGTGTGTCTGTCAAGAATGTTTTTATGGTACAAAATGTCAATTTAGTAAGAAACAGTTCGGCCTTTCACTCGATGTTATTTTGGGCTACAAAATCCTTCCACATATAGGCATTACTGAACAATCTATATATGTTATAATTAGTATTGTTTTGGCTACGGTAATGCTTATTGGTGGTCTCATTTCTGGAATTCTATGTATTTGGACCTTTCAATCGAAGTCATGTCTAAAAGCAGGTAGTGGATTTTATTTACTTGCATCATCAATAACTTCAATTTTGATACTTATTACTTTAAATCTGAAACTATGGTTTCTTATTCTCTCTCAAATTTCTATTATTACTTCGCGATCTTTTCTCTCATTCAGTTGTATTTCAATTGAATTCATTCTTCGATTATTATTAGCCATTACAGATTGGTTCCATAGTTGTGTCGCTGTTGAACGACTTTTTATCGTCATTCTCGGTGTTAATTTTAACCTGACAAAAAGCAAAAAATTTGAAAAATTGATTATTCTATCTGTTTGTCTAGTTACAATGATTTGTCTTGTGCATGACCCTATACATCGTGGTCTAATTGATGATGAAGAAGAAAAACGAACTTGGTGTCTTATTGATTTAACGTCAAAAGTCGAAAGTTATAATTCATTTATTAATATTTTTCATTTCGTTACTCCTTTTTCAATTAAATTCATTTCAATCATTGGCATCATCATTTTTCTAGCAAGAGGACGTGCATCTGTCAATAAAAAAGAGACTTTTATTGAACATTTCAAAAAACAATTACACATTCACAAACATCTTATTATTAGTTCTATTGTCTCAATTATCTTAGCTTTGCCTCGTTTAATCATTGCCTTCATGGTTGGATGTATGACATCAACAAGAAAACCTTTATTACCCTTGATTGGTTATTTCATTTCGTTCCTACCATCGTTACTCATATTTGTTATTTTTGTTTTACCATCGAAAACATATTAAAAAGAGTTCAACACAGTGATTACACGAAAATGGAAAGCCATACGACGTTGATTTCAACGACAATGACTCATGACACAGAATATTACATCTAATGACAGTTTTACAGATTCTTGCTATCTAATCTGAACTATATGCTTTTAACATTTGTGCTTATATACATATGTTGTCTGTTTTTCATTTAAGCAATAAAGTGTAGCTTAATATTCAAAAATACTGTTATTGAATGAGTTTACAGTGTGAATGCAAATAATAATTATTATTGAAATGTATTCCACTTACTGATAGTGATCGAAAATTTTGCGAATGAATTCGTCACTCGATCAAACATGAGTTTTTCATAAGCTATGTACAATGAATAGAAAATGTTATTATTGAACGACAAACATTCTAATTGCTTCTAAAGTATCTACTACGAATGAGACGTATTCTCAAAGAGATTGCACATATTCAAGTCTCGTTATTCTTAAGGAAAATATGATAACTAGATCTTACTACGTGTTTAGTGCACAAGTAGCATGTGTAGAAATTTAATTTATTTATTCTAGTTGAAAACTGATCAAATTTAATTGATGGCATTCATAGCTGTATATCATAGTTACTAAAATTCAATGTACTATCTATTTGACAAATAATTTATTCAAATAATCGAAAGAAAAAATGAAAACAAAATGGATTAAAATACTAAGTTCTTCTTTTCAACGTATTATGTGTTATAATAATAAAAAAAACGAAGCAATATTCAATTGCAAATCGAAAATTGAACATTTTTTCTATTTTTAAAATTCATTGTTAACGTTCCTTCTCTGATTCTATGATATTTTTATGCATCATTCATTATGACGCTTTCGTTATTAAAAATACATTTGTTAAAATTATTTTATTTTTTTGAAAATAGAAGAGATACATTCTCGAATAAATCAAATTTTGCATAAATAGATATCAACTATTTGTTATAGGTGCGGAAGCTACACTATATTTAGTGATGACATAGTTTTCATTGGATCTTTTTACATCATAATAATACGTTTATATACTCTAATGACCTTTATCCTTAGAAATTTTTTTTGCTTCAATATTGGTATTATCATCTCGCCCCTTAATTGAAATAGAAGTGTCTTACTAAGCTATTTAACCCCCAGGCAACATGTAATATTAATATTGAAAGAGAGCAAATTTTCTTTTGTGTAATAATATAAATTTTTACTTAGAGGGTGTGGGTGTAGTTGTGGGTGTGAGTGAAGGACGAGAAGACTAACATCCCATACCCTCACACCCACACCCTAATGTATTTATGGCAACGTCTATGGATTTACGCGATGATAAAGTAGGGTAAGAACATAAGTTCAACTACAATAATATATATCTAGTGGTATTACTTTCATTTTGAATAGTATTCATCCTCGAACAAAACTTGATATAGCATATCGTCTCTCTCGTTCTGGTCTTGCCATTGCTTATAATCAAAAATATATAAACTGTCAGGGATCAATTGTAAACGAAATAGCAAGAGATAGTATTGATCTATTTAATGTTACATTTTTGAGTACTATATCATCCTCAATTGAATTGGGCAATCCAAATGGTTTTGAGGCATGTTCAAATTTTCTCTCGTGGTTTATAATCAATAATTTTTCTTTTTTCAGCTTTGTTGTCAAGAAAAACAAATCTGTATGTTAAATGAGACAGCATGACTAGACGTATCAGCAAATTACGATCTAATATCACCTATCACTGTCAAACTTACAATACCAATGGAATGTCGTTCGCAATCAATTCATGGCGTTCGATATTTATGGAGAGAAACACCGTGTCAATTCAAAGAGGCTGCTGTCTACAGTAGAGCTGATTCAAATCTACCTGCTCCACCTTTCATTTATTTCTTTTAATCATACACAGATCATTCTTTCAATGCTGCTTACTTTTAAAGTCACATTGGAGTGTAGGTATGAGTGAGTGTACTGCGTGTGAAGACGATATACACGTACATCCCACACCCAAACCCAAAGTAAAAACATTTTTTGTGTTCCTATCGTTAAAAGGCTTGTAAGTAGAAAAATGGAGAGTAAACTAGAAAATATCCCGAACATTTTATCAAAAATAAAACATTAAATTCTAAAATAAAGACCATTTAAAAACAACTTATTATTATGCATGTAATACATGCTCGTTTTAATGAAAATCATCTAATCTATGAGAATGGATCAGCTTTGTAATAGCAGAAGAAAAATGTGTACCAAATATTTTTCTTCAACACCAATGAAGAGTCGCATTTAGGGGTGTCGTGTTACTATTAGCATTAATCAATGTTAGTGCTTATGCGAAACCCCTAGTCATATTATTCAAATGAATCAAGACGTTCTAGAATTGATATAATAATTAAACTCAGTAGATTATTCTCAACAGTGTGTCTTTTATTCTAACAAAAGAATATTATCATCTTTACGATAAGAACATTAGTTAAGGTCAATATAATCCTATATCAAAGTATTTTTTGGTTGAATCTCATTTCATTTATTGTCAATGGTAAACAGTTGATTTGAAATTAGCTCGATGAATTTAATCTTTTAATTTTCTAAACGAGAAAATAATGAGAAGTTTCTAGTTCAATTTTTGACATATTTATATTCGATCGAAGTTGATGTTACATTTAATATATCTAATTTTTCTATCAACTCATATTCTCTTATTGATGTTTTCTGTGATTTCAAGTAATTATTAAATAATTTATTAATAGAGAATTCATGTTGCTTGAACTCTTTATGATAATCAAAAACAATTTAACTTCCAAGAAAAAAAAGAGTATCGACGAACGATTGGAATTGCGAAATCTAATCGAAGAAAAAACAATCAGATGTTATGTAATTATATGACTGTCAGAATGATGATGATTTAACGTTTGAAAAGAATAGAAAAATTTCAAAAAAAACAGAATTTTTTCTGCTAAAACCAGACAAAGTGTTAAGTCTATTAAAGAAGATAAAAGTCGATTATAGAGACGTCATGCTATTATTCTATTCAAATAACTATTATAGAAAAATTTTAACAGTGGATTTGTTTTTCATTTCATTTTATTTTTTAAATTAGGGCATACAATATTAAATATATGTATATGTATAATGAAAATATAAAATATTCAGTTAAATAAAGATAAAATTTCCCACCACGAAGAAAAACAAGGTTGTTTTGGCTATATGTAGTTGATTGATTTGCACACATTGCTGTCTCTTTTTCCTATTGGTATTCTACATTTATACGAAGGACGAAGAAGAGGACAAGCAAAAAAAAGATTAACGTTCGCCAGAAATAAAAACAAGATATGTTGTCATTATATTGTCATTATTATTTCTAGCTTACTATGATGATCATGGGTTTTTTTTTTGGGCATAACCGCTTCCTAAGCAAATGACGAATGGGAGAAAAACGATAACAATGATTAATCCCCAATGAAAAAAAAACAGAGAGTGCAGGAAAATTGTTCTTGTTATTTATTGCTTTATGATTAAATGCTCGAAATAGAAAGGACTTTTCAAATATATATACACGAGATTATGGTTCACATTAGGTACAGAACAACTTCGATACTAAATTAGTATTCTTGTGTTGATCAAACAATATTCTCTACGAATATAACAAGTAAATGTATGTATATATGACACTGTAGTCTTTTTAGTTGTTTGCAGTAATAAGTATAAAGGAGACGTGTACACTAAAATACGTAGTATATTAATAATTTATGATATTATTTTCTGATATGATAAGTCATCTATTGATGGTGATATTGTCTCAACATCCTTGATGAAATGAATGGCAGAGATTAACTATTATAAAGTCAATCACTTAAAAAAATCTATGACTAGTATTGATAATATGATTTGTGATTTTCATCTTAGAAATAGAAGTGTTTACAGTCTTATTCTTTTTAATCTAATATGAACAAAGTCGAGTTCTGATTATTTTGTACCTTCTTTTAACTTAATTTTTCATATCTAAGATACTTCATAGGTTTTATGAAAATATTCTAATTGTTGTTTCCGTAAAATAGCTTATGATTTGTCAGGACTATGTGTAATTATGTTAAATATCATATTTAAGTATTCTCTGAAAGTCTTACAAACTAATTTTCAACCTGAAAGTTCATTAAAAACACGTTGATCTGAGGCAAAATTCTTCTTTCTATCATAATCTATGAGTGTCCTAGACCTTCAAGTGTATTTCTATCGATAAATGTTGAATGCCATCATAATCAAATGATTTTGATACAAAAAAATAATCTTTCGGTTTTGTGAAACGCTCACATTTTCACGTTCTTTCCAATATTTTTATTTTCAAGGAGTAACTAAGATATTCATTGTGACAATTTTAAACGTAATAGACACAGTTAAAGGGCTATTATCCTAATACTTTTATTAATGGAAGTAAAATCGTACCGACCTGTATTTTCTTCATTCCTTGTATACAATTTCTTCGCATTGAAAGACCTTGAAACATACAGTCAATACAATAATAGAAACATATGGGTTTAAAGACAATGTCAAAGAAGAGGTCACAATTATGGTTAGTAGAATGTATGAGAGAAGGACAAATCAAAGGTACAATTCTACGTAAAAACAGAGAGCGATGAACAGATAGTACTGTTATTCCTTTTATGAATAACAGCATGTACGAGACAAGGACATGATGTATGCGGAAAGAGAACAATCAAGAAAGAGTTTCGTACAATACGATGTACATAAGGAAAAGAAAGAAGGATGCAGGTAGGGACAAAACAGAAAAGACATTGTGGTTATTTCTAATAAAAAAAAGAGTAATAACTTGCACGTTGTGTTCGATTGTTACATTCATTTTTTGAGTACAGTTGATATGCAAATTCAAATAGAGTACTTCATTTCGCACAAATTAATGTTACAAACAGTATGAAAGAGAAAGAGAAAAGGTTGACAACAATTTTCTTCATTAATCTTTGTAACTTAAGTTCATTCAAATATTCTTCATCATTGAATTCTATATACTCACAATGCTGTAGTGTACATCTTTCTACTATTGTTCTATCGATAGTTTTAGCACGAAATTTGTTGGATGCATATTATGACAACAATACAGTGGATAATGTGGCTACTAATTGCATTTATCATATTCGTTCTCGAACTAAATGCAGTACAAGGGGAGAAAACAAACAATCCCTTCTATATTATTGGACACATGGCCAACACTAATTTCGCTGTCGACTGGGCAGTGGCACAAGGTGCAAATGGCATTGAATGTGATATTCATTTTGACGGTAGTGGGAATCCTTCTATTATTGAGCATGGTCCTGGTTGTGACTGTGGCTGTGCTACGGGAAATGATCACATTTGTGTGGCTCTTCAAGGTCGATGTTCAGGCTCCAAAGCTAGGGAGAATCCTGCAACTTACATGCAAAACATCGCACGCCATGCTGGTATTGCTCTTTTCTTTGTGGACTCCAAAGTTTCTGCTCGCATGGGACAAACGTTGGTTAAAGCAGGAAAAAATCTCATTTCCTTCATGGACAAAAATTTGTTTGATTATGGCTATAAGGGAAAGGTTGTTATCTCATCAGCATCATTCAGTACATTTGCTTACGTTCAAGCAGCAGCAATAGCAGCAAAAGGATCACGGAATTCGCACCGTTATTTCTTCACGGTAGATCAAGAAGGAAACAACTATGAAGGTGTGATGAATAAGATGTGTCCAGTTACAAATAATAGAGTTTACGGTACTGGTACTGGTTCGTGTGGTGAAGTCGTGACTTATTACGATGCTATTAAAGCTGCTGTGGCTGGCAAGAAGCAAGGTGAAAATGGTATGAATTACATCTATACGGTGGATAAAGAACACATTATGCGAGAGTATATCAATCTGGGTGTCGAAGGAATCATGACGAATCGCATTGCTTTAGTCAAGAAACTTGCCATATCTCTGGGCCTACGAATCGCAAAGCCGAACGATCCGATTCCATTCTCAACAAAAAACACTTGCAGTAAGTGTGATGATATGAATGAAAGAGTTCAATGAACAAAGAGCTCTGATTTTTCTGCTTCAGAAGTTTTGTATCGTATACGAATATAGAACTTTTGAAATTTCTATACAGCAATGAAAATTAGATTAAATAATTTACAATCACTATCAAACCTACAGAATTTGAATTTGTATACATGCCTCGATATGCAATTATTTTGATAGCTAGAGAGAAAATCAAATAGTTTAATGTTAAAGTAGTTAATCGGTTATTGGATACTGCAATTTGATTGCTACTCTGGTTTGATGATCTTTCGTAGAAAATCTTTCGTGCTTATTGAGATATACCCATATGGATGCATTTATTTCAATTCACTTATATTTCTATAGATAGATTCTATGATTACTTCGTTCTTAACTGCATGAATGAATAACTATATTCATCTTGCCATCAAACTTCTATAGACGTAGGACATATTATCCCAATTGCTCTACAAGTGTAATAGTTGATAACTATATACAGAAAAAAAAAAGATCAAACTCATTAAAAGATTGTTGTTCTGTTTTAGTTCGCGTATTATTCAAGAGTATGTTTGGAAGAGAAAAATAACTGAGTTATTTCGTTTTTCCTGATCAAAGTACGAGCGATCGAATCGATTTCTATGCATATATACGATCTACTATTTAGTATCGACTATTCATAGACTAAAAACTTTTACTCCAATGATCTTTTAGCAGATTTC